CAACCCTTCTCCTGGAGTTCTGGTATGGTGCTGTGGGATAATACACTAGGACTGCAAGGTCGGTTTGAACCGCAAAGTTGGCAGTGCAAACTCACCAGCCACTCTTTGGAAATGCTATACAGGGTCACTATGGGTCAGAATGAATTCGATGGCACGTAACAACAACAATGCTTTTCCTGGTGTGGCACTGTACGATAAGCACTCTACCGAAAGATCATCAGAATCACAAGGTCAGTGGTTCAAACTCACCAATTGCTCCTGGAAAACCCTAATACAGTGTTGCTATGAGTCAGAATTGACTCTACAGCATTGAATGACAACAACAATCTTTCTCCATAGAATTCTGTGCCTCTTGATTGACACAACACCAAAATGGAAGTTTGGGCTTCCTAGAAGAAACTCACATAGTGTTCTTTTTAAATGATCCTTGAGGTTAGGGAACAAAAGTAATCCTGAAGGGGCAAGATCAATGCTATAGGGAGGATGGGGTAAGGTTTTCCACTGAAATTCTCCTAAAAATGTCCTTGTTACCCTTGAAGAATGAGCAGGTACTTTGTCCCAAAGAGAACAAATTCTTCAGTGCAATTTTCCTGGCCTTTTTCTCACCAATGCAGTTTTCTCTGTCTTTTGAGAAAATCTATTGAGATTGTTTTTATTGTTAGGTGCTGTTAAGTCTGTTCCAACTCATAGAGATCTCTATATGCAATAGAAGCAAACACTGCCTGGTTCTGTACCATCCTCACAACTGCTGTTATGCTTAAACCCAATATTGCAGCCATTGTGTCAACTCACCTCATTGAAGGCCTTCTTCTTTTTCACTGACACTTTACTTTGCCAATCAGGTCCCTCCTGATAGCATATTAAGATTAGGCCTTTGGGTCCCCCCAAATAGTTGTCATAACCTTTTGAGTTGACCTTTATGCCTTACATTTAACTGACCCAACAGATTCCATTGCAAGTCATTGTTCTGACTAAAGCTTTTATTTGAAAACACCCTAACAAGACTAACACAATGACAAATTCCGTGTATCACTGAGAGAACATGATCACAGACATGTGCTTGAACACGTTTTGTTTGGAATATGCCTGGATATGTATGGCCTAGAATACCAGTAGCATTATTAATGATTTACCCTCATTCAAGCTGAAATATCTATTAAACTAATAAAGTTCCTCAAGTTGTCTATGAAAATGAATGGAATAAAATATATAAAAATTTTATAAAATTATTTTCTATCATTGTATCATCTCTTCAATTGGCTTAAGTAATATTTTGAAAACATGTACAAGATCTCTATAATGCTTGATTCAGTGTGGCTGTTAATTTCCAACATAATTGCTAGAACATTTGAAATTACCTTAAATTTGAAAGTAAGAGCTACTTACTTTGAAGTGATTTGGCAGGTATTATAATCAATATATAGAGCACCAACCTCAGAGTTTCTTGAAATTGTTACTTATTAAAATAGATATACCTAAGAGTTTCTAAAAACTGTTCTATATTAAAATCCCACACATTTGGTATTTTAATCGCTGATGCACACTAATTCCTTATTAAGCTACTTTTGTACCATGCTGAGTGAATTTATAAGTAGTAATTTAAAAAATCTCACAGAGAATATTTAATCTATTTTTAAAATTATAAATAATTTTATTTTCTATTTTATTTTCAGGTATTCAATACACTTAGGAAAAGTAATTCACAAATAAGCAATTAAACTACCTGAGAATAATTAAATATTAATCAGTTTGCATTAACAACGGCATCTTCTTTAATAACCAAAACAAGGATATAGTTTTACTGATTCCTACTGGCTCAACTAGAAGGCTATTTTTTTCCTTCAAATCAACTAATTTTACTTAGAAATTAGCCTATTTTGTGTTAACATTACTAATAATAATACCTTACACTTATTTATCACCTCACAAGGCTTGCAGAGTGCTTCACATGCATAATAAATTAAAATTCCATCAAACAGTAAGTCTTTGAAAACATTGTACAAAATTTGTGCTGAAAAGCATATTTTATCTATCAAAATCTCTATTACAACCTACAATGACAGTTACTCTATGGACTAAAATTGGATTTCACCTAACTTTGTAAGAGCATAGCATTTTGAATCATACATAACTACATATATTTCTCTGGAATCAGAGTTCTAAAAATTTTATCTTAAAATTTTATTATACTAAACAAAAATATGGAAATATAATTTTTAAAGGATTGTTGGTATTATGTGTCATCTAGTTGATTCTGATTCACAGAGACCCTACAGAACAGAGTAGAACTGCTCCACAGGATTTCCTAAACATAAATCTTTTAAAGGACTATTCTATTGTTGTTGTGCCATTGACTCAGTTCCTAATCAAAATGACCCTGTATAGGGTTTCTGAGGAGCAGGTGGAGGGTTTGATCTGCTGACTTGTGGTCAGCAGTCCAGAGCAGTTAGCTATCTTACAGTGCGACTAGGATAGTAGGCACTATGCAGTTTCATAATGAATTAGTGCAAAACTTGAAATTTGATGAATTGTCGATACATGGTTACTGAAGACATCAAGTGTTAAAATAGAATAACTTAATAACTTTTTTTATTTTAAATTAATTCTCTGCATATTTGTCTATGATAACATCATGACTGAAAAGTTTCTTAACTCTTATATTACCTGAAATTATTTCTGCACATCTGTTTTAGTTCACAAAAGAGATGAGCCATTAAATTAGTAAAAGGCATACGTAACATTATAAACCATGAACTTGTATACACTAGTTACTTTTGAAGAGAACTCTAAATCTATATTTTTAGTAGTGAAGTGAGTTAAGCATTGGACTGCTAACTGAAAGTTTTCCAGTTCAACCCCACCAGCCTTTCTATGGGGGAAATATGAGGCCATCTGTTTCCATAAAGATTTATAGGCTCTGAAATGCTAGGGAGCAGTTCTATGCTGGCCTACGGAGTCACTCTGAGTCAAAATCTACTCGATGGCAATGAGTTACTTGTTTTAATTAATTAAATGATGTTTATGAGCAGGTGTATTTGGGTATTGGAGACAAATATATTCCACATACCAACAACATTTCATTCAATGATGAGTTTCTGATCTAAGTCAAGTTTTAGAGAGAATTTTCTGTTATATGGCCTTTGTTCTCTGAGACAACTGGGCAACATGGTGAGTTGCAGATTGCAATATTCTAGGTGATAGCCCAGGGAACTTGGAACATTCCAGGTTATCACAAAGAAACCTCAGAATTTAGGGATCATCATGTGACTGTGCTGAGATACACTGGATTACACAGAGAAAGTCCAGTGGTGTGCCCACTTCTCATTCTGAAACTTGCCTAAATCGCAGACTAAAATATCTAAGTGAAAAAAGTAATAAGTAAATGGAGACCAGTTGCTAATTTCTCATCATAGACAACTTACTAAACCCATTCCTCCAGTCTTCAGCTTAGAAGACTAAAAACTGGCACTGTGTGGATGCCTGAGACTATGCAAAAAAATCTCTTGAATCGTGAAGTATGGTTTTCTCCACACTGCCTAGATATTTCTAAGGCTACCAGGATTAATTCCCTGTGTGATTCTTAGCATGTCTAGATTTCTTCAAAAGATTACCTTCACAAGATAGAGAACAGCTGCTTTCACTTGCAGTGAAGGAAAGAGAGAAAGGAGGATATTGGCATAACCCAATGTTGTTAATGAGCCAAAATATCAACACTAATATTAAACAAGCAACCTTCTAGCCCTTCCATGGTCAATCACTGCTTAAGATTTTCCTTCTGTTGCTGACCAAAGCAGAAGAACAATTTACAAGCATAGTTATAGAGCACAATTACCAAAGAGATCATACCTACCTAGGAGAACAAACCAAAGAGGATAATAATCACACTGGGCCTTCTGAACTGACATCTATTTGTCTGTTAGGGCACACCTGAAGAATCAGCTGCTCTAGGAAGCATCCCCTGGTCACCAGCTCCTGCATTCAATGTCACTCCTATGAACACTGTGTGCTGAATCCTATGAGCACATGTGGCAAACACTACTAGAGTGGTAAATTTACATTTTTATTGAGAACACTAAAAAGTAAAATTCCTACATATAGAGAACATGATTTTTTTTTTTTTTCGGTATGTCCACAGTATCAAGCACAGTGCTTAGCACACAGTAAGTGTTAATGAAATATAAATTCAATGTGCCATATCCAGCAAATTGTCCACGGCCATGATTTGTTGTTGTTTAATGCTCTGAGTCAGTTCTGACTCATATCAATCCTCTATAGGGTTTCTGAGGAGTGGCTGGCAAGTTTGATCCTCTGATGAGTAAAAAGAGTCCTTTAAAAAAATACTCACACTTAATTGTTACAAAACAGTAATAGCAAATAGTGAAAATGCCATGATATTTTGTTGTAGTTGTTGTTAAGTGCCATTGAGTTGATTCCAACCCATAGCGACCCTGTATAGGGTTTCCAAGAAACAGTTGGTGAGCTTGAACTGCCGACCTTGCAGTTCAAATGGCTTTGGAGTCTGGCGCATTAACCCACAGCGCCACAGCAGGACTGAATGCAGTTATTGTACCATAAAAAACATCGTCGACCAGATAGTACATTAGTAGACTTGTGAATTAAGAGATATTTCAATAAACTTATTTGAAGTCTCCAAATGATTGCATGGTTTTCTTTCAATTAAAACATAATATATTTTTACAAACTATTTGAAAGTTGTTCTAATTATTTATAATAGAATAAGTGATTTCAATTTAAAAACATGTGGTTTTATATGTGGAGCAGACTCTCCGAAATAAAAGACATTTCCTTATTTTACAAAAAGGATTCCCAAGGGGGAAAGTTCAATTAATAGCTTTACCATGAAGACATTTCTGATAAACCAAAAATTATATATGTGTATCATTAAAAGACAGAAAATGAATTTCTACATATAAAATATAATAAGGTTTTTATGAAACTAAGGGGCCTGTAAAAACTTTGAATTTTCTGCAAACTTCTCTGTCATTTATGGAAAACATAAAACATGAATCTACTATCTATCCCTTTAAATCTTTACTCTCTTTTCCTGGAACATCATCAAAACAGCAGGAAAGACATCTTGGATGAGGACTGAATTACGTATTTTGGGTACATATTATAGAAAACACTTGTGAATCACGCAATTATTATCAGAGAATAAAGCAGACAGGCTTGAGCTTTTATCACAGTTGCACAGAGAAAAAGCTTGATTAAGTAATCAGAATGACATAAAGTTCTGCATATACAAAGCACAAAATATAGTCTAATAAATACTTCAAATGCTTAGATTATTTAAAGTTAAACTTAGTTCTTACATGCAATTTAATGAAGGTCTATTGTAAATAAAGCATGTCTTCAAACATTTTCTTTCCTGTAAGACAAGACTATTCAGATGTGTTTATAATCTCTTAAATCACTACATATTGTTACAACACCAAAGAAGAAAATAGAAATTATTAATTTTTAAAATTACCCAGCAATTCCATTGCATCATCTTCATTATCAATATCTTCTTCTGTTACAGATGGGGTAGGGCTGTGGATGGATTCGAAAGAATCTTGAGAGAGCATTGCTGCCAGAAGTTTTTTATGCTGTTGCTGCTGTTGTTTTAATCCCTTGGTTTTTGGTTCCATCTTTAAACTGCAGAAATATTTAAATATTAATTGTCAATGAAAAGGAGATTATGAATTAGCTGTAGTAAGTAAAGAGAGTTTACGGACTATTGTGCAAATTTACAATCATATTACTAAAATATTCCACAAGGATCCTACTAGAAATGGTGCTGCAGAGTATGTACTCGACCACAAGTTTTGTTTGAACTGCAAAGTCAGCTGCTCAAACTCACCGGCCACTCCTCAGAAACCCTATATAGGATTCTTATGGGTTGGAACGACTCAATGGCACTTATCAACAACAATAATGGGTAATACTATAAAGAGTCCTATTGTTGTTGTTAAGCATCGTTGAGTTGGTTCTGACTCATTGCAACCCTGTATAGGGTTTCCAAGGAGTGGCTGGTAAGCTCGAACCGCCGATCTTGCAGTTCAAAATGACTTTGCAGTCCAGTGCTACACCAGGACTCGAACACCAATAGCAAAGTGTAACACTGGGCTGCTAACCCCAAGGCAGTTAGAATCCACCAGCACCTCTTCAGAAGAAAGGTGGACTATTTGCGCCCTTAAAGATTTGTGTTAAGTGCCGTCGAGTCGGTTCCGACCCATAGCGACCCCAGGGTTTCCGAGACTGTAAATCTTTACGGGAGCAAAAGCTTCATCTTTCTCCCGTGGAGCAGCTGGTAGTTTCAAACTGCTGACCTTGTTCGCAGCCCGATTCGTAACCACTACATTTACAGCCTTGCAAACCTTCGCTATATATGGTCGCTGTGAGTCAGAACTAATTCAATGACGTGCAGTAGCAGCAGCATAGGTAATATTCTGGATTCTCTTCAGATTGAAAAATGTTTGCCTTTTTCCAAGTGGCTACAGGTAAGGAATATAGCAAACTGCAAAACTCCTGTCCCATTTAAAGTTAAGCTAGTCAACTGCTAACATGATTTTAAAACCAAAGCATGTTATAAAAAATACATGCAAAGGGATGAAGAGTTTAACATAAGATTTAAAAAATTTTATTTCTGAAATTGAAATAAATTTTCTCACCAGTCCGATACATTTTGACAAAATCTTGAAGTAGGGTAGAGGGAAAATACAGCCATATTTGCACATTAAAAATCTCCAAGTTTCTGCCAATATAAAAGTGGTGGTGGTGTGCTATTGAGTCAGACCCAACTCACAGTAACCCCGTATAGGTTTTTCAAGGCTGTAAATCTCTATGGGTGAAGAAAGCTTCTTTTTCCCATGGAGTAGTTGGTAGATTCTAACTTCTGACCTTCTAGTTAGCAGCCCATTTTGTAAACAACTATGCTTGTTGTTGTTGTTAAGTGCCATCGAGTCAGTTCTGACCCATAGGCACACTGGATAGGGTTTCCAAGTAGATGCTGGTGAGCTTGAACCACCAACCTTGCAGTTCAAATGGCTTTGCAGTCTGGCGCATTAACCCACAGCGCCACACAAGGCTTTAAAGGAGCCTTTGTAAATTTGAATGTACTTATATATTGCATTTTTTAATAAACCCAGGATTCCCTTTCATGTTTCTCTCTCAGCAGTTTCTGATACAGTGTAATATTAAACAGGACAATATATAAATCCATGTGGCAACAATATAGTTTTTTAAAATTCTGTTCAAGTTTTCCTCTTCTTTCTAATCCAATTTCTTTCCACATATTTCCAAATGGAGGAATAAGACAAATGTCACCTAAAGAAGGAGGAATCAGCTAAAAACAGGAAACACATATTTACAGCAAGAATCATTCCCACCCCTTCCATACACAGAGTCGACAGGGATGGGCAACTTGGACATTGGCTACCCAAAATGGGGGGGCTGCAAAGGCAAGAAGTGACTGGCTTACAAGCTTTCAAGAGGAAACCTAGATTCAGAGGGCACGGAAGAAGGTAGAATCTCCACTGAGTGGTATCCAATTTGTCTAGGCGGGGCTGATGAAATGCGGATGGGTCTCTTGTGATACAATAGTGAATAATTGTTATCAGGACTGACTATGAGGGCTGGAAATGTAAAGGTAGACGTTTTGTAGCAAGGAGGGGGTGGTTAACTTTGCAGGCTAGGAGCAGAGGTCCTTGTGACCATGAAGGGAGAAGAGTGGAGAGCGGGACCCTACCCAGAGAAGCAGTGATGCCTGAGATGGAGGCAGAGATGATGACATGGAGAGATGGAGCAGCTGGGGACTTTAGACCCAGAGAGGAGGAAGAGGGGCTGTGTGCTGATGACCGGGGCGGGGGTGGGGGGTAAGCTTGTATGATATACCCTTTTGTTGGTTGATGATGCATGGAGGGGACTGTAACCATGACAATGAAACTATATACAACAGGATGAATGTAAAGCTAATGTTCTTCCATATAAACTATCACATAATGCACCGTAAAACATCAAAAAAAAGAAGAAGGAAGAATCAATGATATAAAAGAAGTCCCAGCAAGGAAGGGGAAATAAATACACTCTACGCAGAAAGTAGGTCTGAAAGAGAAGAAAAATGGGGAAGAGAGGAAAGTACACATCACATTCCTACCGCCACAAAGCCAAAACCCAGAAAAACTTGGATAGAAGCAACAAAATAAATTTTAGGGCACAAATCAGAAATTTTCAAGTTGCTTTAATAAAGGTACCAGGTTCAACCTGATACAAAGAGGCAGTTGGAAATGTAAACATGTCAGGATAAGTTATTAGTGGGCAAATATAGGATCAGCCCTGGACTACGAACCACAAGGTTGGCAGTACAATAAGGAGTATTGTATAACAAAAGTCACCCTTAGTAATTCAGCTCACAGTTAAGATATGATAGAGATCACCAGTAAAAATAGCAAACTTTGTTGTTGCTGTTTTAGAATACTGCTAGCCAGTAAAGGAAGAAGGAATGACAGATTTTTTAAAAACCATCACTTTGTAGTCACCAAAACAACGATTACTCAAGCAGAGTTATCAATGCTTTGTTTATTGTATGCTTTGAATTAAATGTAGACTGACATGCAATTATGGGAAACAATTCTGAGAAATCCTATGCACCAGCTATGCAGTTTTCCCCTAGAATAATTTTTTTTTTATTGAAACAATTTCTATTTAGAAATTAGTTCATAAAAACTACTGGATGAATACATAGATTAGGAATTTCTAAATAATTCTTCTGGTTTACACTATCACTTTTAGCTCTGCTCTGGTAAGGGTTTCCAAAAACTTCCCTTGGTAAAATCAGGATTCATTTCCTTTACTGCAATGAAAGGAAACCATCATACTCAAAGAAATGCTCTGATGATTCCCAGGGTTGGGAGGGAAGGGAGAGTGGCTCACTGGCTAGAGGGTACAAAACATATTAACTCAGATGATAGGGAAGGCAATATACAAGAAAGAGTTGGGAACAAAAAAAGAAAGAGATAAAGAAATCCAGATGAAGCTGAGATTTGAAGCACTCAGCTCCCACTTCCCAGAAGAAAGCATCGTTGCTATAATGTTTTGTAGTCGCTGAATTACATGCTCCATCTTAGATCTCTACTCCCTCTTCACCTATGTAATGTCTGGACCTCGGATTTCTCTCTGGTTTTGAGTGATTGCAGACAGAGCTGTATCACAAGAATGTCCAAGAAAACTGGTTTTTATAGTACTTCTCCACTGAGTCTTTTGTTTTTCTGTTCTTTTGTTCTTATTGGTTTTTCTGTAGCATAGTTTCTCAGGTCCTGTAATCTTTGCTCCTGAATTTGTAAATCTTTTTCAAGTAGCTACTTAAAACCATTTCTTCCCAGGCCCTCATTCTCGTCCTTTGGGCAGGCAATTGAACTCTATAATCATCATAATATCTGCTGGCATGAACAATTTGCTGCTGATTTTCTTTGGTATTTGATTGCATCAACCTTTGCCGGTTAATGAGATCCTTGAAGTCTTGCAGTTTCTTGTCAGGTTCATATTCTCTCTTAACAAGTGTAGGAAGGAGGTCATGCTTGCTGAAGCCTTCTTCTGAGTCATTCTGGAGTTTCTTCTTTGGCCAATTTTCTCCACATGCATCTTTTCTGAGCTGTTGAACCTGTGCTAGTTACTATTTCCACATTTTGCTTAGTGTCTGGCCAGAAGCATAGAAAAATGGAAGCTGCTCCATCAAGAGAGGCAGGAGACAATGTTCATTTACTTTCACTGGAACTGCTTTATCTGTCTTGGGGAAGTCACTTCTTGGACCTGGAGTTGTAGTTTTTCTAGACTGTATCTTTCCAGGGTGACAAGGTTTTAGCATTTCTTTCTGAACAACGTCTCTGTATATTTTTCTATTTCCTCCTTCTTGTCATTTATCCCTCAAACCAAAAAATAAAACTCTCTGCCATCCAGTTGATTCTGATGCAGAGCATCCCTACAGGGCAGAGTAGACCTACTCCACTGGGCTTCTGAAATTATAAATCTTTACAGGAGCACATGGCCTCATCTCTCTTCTTGGATGTGACTGGTAGGTATGAGCCCTTGACTTAGCAGTTAGTAGCCCAACAATACCACTTTTACATCACTTCTGATGTAGCATGGTGTGGACATAATTATTACTTATTAATAAGAAATATTAACAAACAGTCCTTGTGTGGTGCTGTGAGTTAATGCACCGGGCTGAAAAGTTGATTTGAACTGCAAGGTTTCCAGTTGCTCCTTGGAAACCCTATACAGGGTCACTATGGGTCAGAACCAACTTAATGGCACTTAACAACAACAACAACAACAGCTCAATGCCTACCCCACAGTGCACCAGCATTCCTCATTCACTCTTGCTGCTGCTGCTGTATGCCAGTGAGTTGATTCTGACTCACAGTGACCCTGTATAGAGTTTGCAAGGCTGTACATCTTTATGGGAACACAAAGCCTTATCTTTCTCCTATGGAACACTTGGTGAGTTTGAACTGCTGACCTTGTAGTTAGCCGCTCTAGTTGTAACCCACTATGCACCATGGCTTTCATTCAATCCTACAAGCGCAATAAAACTCTTGATTTTTATTTCTTCTTAGGTTCCTTTCAAACGCTTTAGCTACTGCTTTAGCTTAGATTCA